TTGCCCCCTTTTTGTGGACAGTTACATAAATGGTCATTGAAGTTTGGTGTCCTTCAACAATCGGTCACAAACATTTGTTTTTTGTAAGTTGTAACATCATGATGTGAAAAACAATTACAGGTTTCAGAAAAGAAAGCAAGAGAATGGTGCAGTAGTAAGGGAGACATTCCATACTTCGAGACATCAGCCAAAGAGGATTACTATGTAGATGATGCCTTCCAATCCGTAGCCAAAGTTGCCCTTCAAACCGACCACCAACACGACATGTAAGCAACTTTAATTCGAGAATAGATACTACACAGCATATCGGTGAATGTATAGCTCGCTCATGGTATATTTGATATTTCACTAATCTTCACATTAAATGTTATAGAGATGTACTAAATCAGCAACAAAAAAAAAGTCTCTCGACTCGAAAAATCAGCTTCAACGATGAGAAAATTCAACGAGACGTATATTGTATTTCTATTTTTCATTTGCGTGCTTAGTCATATATCTCTAAATGGCCGATTTACTTGAGTTTTGAACTTGGGTTTCACATTTATCATCTGAATTGCTAACTAATTTTTTTCGTTGATGGGCAGTTACTACCAAGACATATCAGAAGCTGTTTCCGAAGTTGATCAAAGAGGGAGCTGCGCATGCTGAAGTGTAGCAAAAGCAAATACTTTCACGTGCATCTATAAACTTCGACAATATATGAGCAACTAAGACTAGATGGAGAAGCATGATCCAAACTGCGACTGAGTGCTGATTGAGATCAACCTTTTGAGTCTCCTATCGTACCAAATTTCATTTCTAGCGGTCATATGACCATTTGGGGCCAAATTTCATTGATTCTATTCATTAGTGAGCCTATACTTCATTGGTGCCGTTGGGTATAATTTATGTGTACATCAGAATTCATTTACTTATGGTAGCAGGAGATTACTCTTGTTATATGGTGGTGAAGTTTTGTGACTCAAATCTTCAAAATTTTATAATTAACTATAAACACATTTGTATTTTTCCGATTAACAAAATTTGTTACAAATTATGTCGAAGTTTGTTACAAATTATGTCGAAGTTTTGCATCATTCGACTATGGGTTCTACAGAAGTTTTGCAGGTACTACAGAGATGAAACCAACAGTGATAATTTTTTAGTAAGATTAAGTTTCAAACTAAAAGAAAATCATTTTTTTCAATTCGATTTTATATAAATATTGATGATTCGGTAATTATTTCGTCCGGTTTTGCATTGTGGATATCCAAATCAAGAGCCACGACTCCCGGGCTTTCAGACTCGTTGGGCTCACGGTAAAGTATCACAAATTCCAGTGGACAAAGTACTGTAATCACAAAGCCCAATCGCATTATTCCATACGAAAAAAAGCCCACTTTACAGGGAGGAGGAAAGAGAAATAAGAGTTAGCGAAGTTGGGGTATTTATGGGAATATTGAAAGATAGTAGGGATAAAATGGATGTAAATTTGAATCTATAATCTCAAACACCAAATATGTACCAAGTTTGACACATTTTTTTTATGCGATGGAAAGCGATATTCTAATCTGTATTATTAACTAGCCGAAGTTTCGAGAGCTCAAAATCTTTATATAGAATTCAATAAATTATGTGTATTTTATACGTACATCATAATTCAAATTGACAAGATAATCTGCTACAAAGTTACTCTCACTCTTGATACATGTAAATAAAGCATATGAAAACCATACTAACAAGACAACACATAAGGAAGACATAAAAGTAAGCTAAATGTGTATGTGTTCGAACTACTGAATTAACGGTAATGGAACAATGGAATCCATCCATATATAAAACTTCATTCTCCACCATATTAGTTCAACTTTAATTATGGACTATTCTCTCCACCATCCCACTCTAGAAAGAGCATATAACCTTTCAAGTTTCGGTTCATAGCAATGCATGTTATTCAACAGATTATGTGTATTTTATGCGTAGGTTATAATTCAAATTAGCAAGATAATCTACTACAAAGTTACTTTCACTCATGATACGTATAAATACAACGAATGAACATTTTACTAACAAGACAACATATACTGAACAACAAGAACGTAAAAGTACGCGAATTGTACGTGTTCCGACTACTAATAAACTAACAATAATAAAACAACGAAAACCGATTACATTGAACTTCATTCTCTCAAACCAATATTAAATCATATAAACCCCCATTTCAATTCAACTCTAATGATGGACTATTCCTCTCCTACCCATTATACACTCTCTCCACGAACAGGAATACCTTTCAAGTTTCAATTCCTAGCAATGCATATTATTCAAATTATATAAATTTTATCGGAGAAAACGTGGAATTGATACCTTTCCTTTCTTCCCAAGAAGCTTCCCTTTGCTTTCTCACCGGGGGTGAATCTAGAAAACTGGAGACTGAGACTGAGAGTGAGAGATAGAGATTAGAGAGTATCAATTTTCCTCCACGGCAATCAATCAAAGAGAATTGTTCATAGGTTCGTGGAACCTTCTTTCCCTTTGCTATTGCTATCTCTCTCTAAGGCTGCGAATTGAGTTGTGCCCGTAGAATGGCATGCGAATCAGTTAGAGTTGTTTTCATTTAATTTTTCTGTATTGAATGATATTACGAATCAGTTGTTCCCAGTAACTCTAGTTTGTTGAGAGAGGTTTAGTTATGGATTTTATACCATTTGCTAACACATCCCTCAAACGAAAGCAAGCTCATATGAGGGTGAAATTTGCACACCGAGCAACTTCGCGGTTCTCTCCTTTCACTCGAGCAACTACCATGTGCTTAACAAATGAGAGTTGTGAGTGATTCGAACACAAGACCTATCGACCAACGAAGACTCTGATACCATGTCAAGAACTAGTTATTCACAAATAACTTGAATGGTTGGAAGATGTTTTAATCAATGATCTTTTACTGTGCACTAACACCCCCTCCCCCCCTAAACGAGAGCCCACCAACTCTTATGAGCTTGAAACTTGCACGGGTCAAAATACCATGTGTTTAAGTACAAGTGGAGGTCATCACGATTCGAACACCGTTGTCGAAAACTTTAGTACCATACCAAGAACCAGCTTCTTTCAATAACTCGAGTTTTGGAAGATGTTTGAATTAAGGAAGTCTTGTCAATATGCTTTAAATGATATCACTTGATCTCCAATGGCTAATGAAATAGGAACACATTTTCTTTTGACCAACCCATTAATGTAGGTTCTTTCCCATAACTTAATCCAACTATCAGCTGCTTAATTGGGTTTGTAAGGTAATGATTTGGATTATTACTAACTGTCAAAATTGGCCCACTAATTAACATTCCCGCACCATCGAGAGAGAGAGATCAGCTTCCCGGAATTGTACTATCTGGTTGAAAATGCACTACTTTTTATAGTAAATTTAATAGATGAAAAATATATAAACACGTACTAACATCTACTCCGAAAGGTATTTAGTCTTAAGAACCGGATTGAATTTATCGTCATGTCAGTATCAGTTAAAGTGTGGTGTTGAGCGTTGACCATTTAATAAATGTTACTATCATTGAACATATCTGCAGCTGTTTGGGCAGTTTGGTTGGCCGCTGGGGGGCTGTAGTCATTCAAGAATTCTCTGCTGTCCAATTGAGAGCCACAATTCACCGATTAAGGAAAGGGTTGAGGAAAAAAATAGAAGCCAAAAACGGATTGAAGAGGAAGAAGCTTCCATGATGCAGCGGCGGTCACTTAAAGTCAACAACATTGGGTGAAAATTATGAAAGCCAACGGTTGTAACTGATCGCAATGTGTCGTTTTATTTACCAGACTATCGATGTATATAAGTGAAATTATTTTATATAATCTCAAATATCGGACGGAGAGTTCTGTTAGACACAAACGTATGATGTGACATTATTATTAGAACTTTCGTCTCTTCTTTTGGAACCACCTCCACTGCAAGGATGCATGAATCTTCTCCAAAACGCCAACGGTTGCAGTGCCAATTTCAGAGAGACAAATGCACTCCGCCCTTGAATATCCCACCTGCCGCAGGTGCCTGAGCAACCCCCAGTTTAGGTGTCGAACTGGATGACACTGACTTATATCTTGAGTCTCTCTCGGACCGGCCGCTCTATAGAGTATATAGAGAGATCGAGTATATCTTATTATAAGAAAGTGACACTTGCATAGATCAACCTAAGGAGATTCAGTCACGACAGTTGCGGATGGGTAAAGCTCTTTTTCATTGATGAATTGGTTACATTACCCGAGTACTCTTTTTTTAGTTAGAAAAGTGCGTCTTCGGGCGAGCCGGATAGGACCTTGAGACATCTCATTTATGGGGAAGGGAAGTCAACCATAATGAACTGAAATGAGGATCTTGAGAACTCTCAACTTTTTGGAGGTGTGGAAGTTGGGAGGAAAGATCCTCTATGCACTGAGATTATGATAAACAGGAGTCAAGTGAGTAATGATGGTAATTCGAACAAAGATTAGGATAATAAAAAAAATAATTTAAAAAATATTCAACAACTAGATTTTTTTGTTTGTACTTTTCAATAAGAATTATATATATATATTTCTTAGGACGGATGTATTTAGTGAAATTATAATTATAATTACAAATATAATCTCGATCGTATCAGAATAATACAATCTCAATTACCGTACGGTTTTGTATGTCGCCCAAGTAGATCCCATTATCCCTTGCTTCGAAACATGCTCACGTGGGGCTGAACTCATCAACATGACGTAACCTTTTTGTCCACTACCGCGCGCCACGTGGCACCACAGCGGGAAGCTTCACTGCATCTCCCTCCCTCCCGACGAAACTGTCCATGAAGCTGCACCTCATTTTCAGCTAAAAAACAAAACAAAAAAAGGTTTAATTATTTTTATAAATATCGGCGGCCATAGCCAAACCTTCTTCCTTTTATTTCGATCCAATAATTTTTGTTTTTTTTTTGTCTGAAAGAGTAAAGCTGAGCTGAGCTTAGTTACTGTTTCTCTCTCTCGCAAAAATGAACTTCTTCCCGTACAATCAAAACCCTAACCGTAACTACCCGGCCGACGATAATTACTCTCCGCCGCCATCCTTCCCGCAATTCGCGGGTCCCGCCGCCGGGCCGGAGTTCCACTTCTCCGATTACCTGTTCCCGGAGGAAGCACGCGATAATCATGATGATCGTAACAGCAATTACATGGATGATTATGATCACTCACCTGATCCCCACCACAGCTTCGCCGTCACCGCCACTGCTACTGACTCTCCGGTCCAGATCGGGTCCGGCGGCGATGGCGGCTCTTGGAACTCTGTCGGGTTAGTACATACTGAAACTGATCTTAATTATATGGGTAGTTGTTGTTGTTAATGAATAAAAAGACTGGTTTTGTCTCTTTATACGTACAGCAATTTGGGCATGCAAGTTGCTCAAAATTGTCTGTTCTTTTGGTGTCACTTTGGTTTGGTCACTTCATATAGTACTATGGGTCATGAATGAGAGGGGCAAAGAAAGAATTTCGTCAATATCTCTTAATCATATCCCTCGTATCATATTTGAAAATGGAAAAAAAAAATTGTTATTGGTTTTCTGGATTTCGAAAACTCCGAAGTAAAGTTTTTTCGGATCATTATCGCTTCGGACCAACCTCAAAGAGTTCGTACAATTCTTAATGTTGAGTTTCGTTACTCGAGTTTCGAGTTTGATGTTACAAAAAAAATATTGACCTTTGCAGGCATTTTCACTCTATGCTCCGCTTTCCTTTGTTGTATTTCTCAAACTCGGTACTGTGCTTTTAACCGTTTGTCCAAGAATGTTTTACTCTTGTTTCGGATTCCGTGTATATCATCTTGCCCCCTCTCTGTAACCGCGCGATCATTCAAATTGCAATGCTTTACTCTTCTTCTTCTTCTTCTTCTTCTTCTTCTTCTTCTAACTGAGATTGGGATCAAATTTTTTTGATTTGTTACACAGGAATATTGATGATGGAGACCAACATGAAATCAGCAGAAGAATCAGTAATGGAAAGCAAAAAATGAACAAGGAATCAGAAGTAGTGGCGCATAATAGAGTTGCGTTCAGGACCAGGTCGGAGCTGGATGTGATGGATGATGGCTACAAGTGGAGGAAGTACGGCAAGAAATCTGTCAAGAACACCCCTAATCCCAGGTACTAATTACCCTACATAATTCAATTCTAATTACTGTTTTTTTAAGTATATGATTTATATATATGCTTAACATTCTATACCTTGCTTTCGTTTATAAACCCACTTGGTTTTGCCTATTCAAGTCGACATGGATGTATGCTTGGAGTTTTGTCTACTTCAGAAGTGTTCAATTTCATATACTTTGGGGTCAATAGTGACATTCTTTGTCCCTATACTATTTTAGGTGACTATATATACTACGAATTTTAGGTGACTATATATATAGTACTCCTCAATAATGTTATATTGAGGAGTGAAACATGAGCTTTTAGCATACATGACATGTGGGTCGTCCATAATGTGTATATTGAGCGCAGCTTACCCCTACTTAGGGTTTTCGACAGAATTTGGAGGCACGCTTAATTAGTAAGCACATTTTTTTTGATTCCTCACATGTCATGTATATTAATTTGAACAATCATGTGAAGGAATGAACACATGAGCTTTTAACACACATGGTAAGCGGGGCCGCTCATAACGCATTAACAAATTATAGTTTAGTCAGTCCTACTTGTTACAATCGCACGGGCAAATTTTCGGACATGCTTATTACAAGTACGTGTTCTTAAGATTACTCACACGTACGTCACGTTTCTCTCTTGAATTATTCAACTCTTGATCTCCCATGACCCATATCCTCTCATGCATCCTTCAAATTGAAACTTAATGGCATGTGAAACCATCAATTAAGTAACTGTTTACTAAAATTGTCCAATCATGTAGCATTATCAGAACTGTACATATAGGTCCCCTACTTTCTCTTTGTTTTTTCAGGATTCGACCTTAGTTAAGAAATGTGATTCGAATATGCACATTAGTTCAGAACCCTTTTAACTAATGTTGATTGTGTTTTGCAGGCACTACTACAAGTGTTCAAGCGTGGGATGCAACGTGAAGAAGAGAGTCGAGAGAGATAGGGAGGACTCGAGGTATGTGGTCACAACGTACGAAGGAGTTCACGGTCATGAATCCCCTTCTTCCATCCAACAACACGCCTATTATTACACTACTACTACTACTACTACTCAAACTAAACCCTACCCTTCTTCATCATCGTCTCCTTCGTCCACTTAATCGATCTTCCTACCATATAGCACCATAGATGTACCCTCGTCATATGATCGAATGAACCATGTCCCCCGAAAAACACGATTGTGTTTTCGATTAGTCAACACATCAACCTCCTCTTTTTTGTGAAGGAACCATGTTCAAGATTATGAACTGCTTTGTTTGTCCTCCCATCTCATGGGAGGTCAAGCGAACAATAATGTTTTGGCATGTTATATACAAAACCTCCGTACCCACCAGCTCCTATTTTCCTCTCTCCAAACATGGAGAAAAATCGTCTTCGTGTTGAGTAGGATGTAGGTGAAAAACGTAGCGTTTTTTTTTTAAGAGGAGAAGTGTGGACTATGTATACTGATAGAGTGACTAGAACGATATGGACGGTCAGTCACTACTTTATTGGCTGATATTTTATGATATAGTACAATGATGTAGTACATGTAGAAGCTTGTCTGTACATATATGTAATGTAACAAAATGATAAATGTATGCTATGATACTACTTCTCTATCTGTTTATGGATACGAATAAATCCTTTTGTTATGGTGATAATGAGTTTTTTCTTGCTTCAATTTCAATATTTGTTACTTTGTACTTTCTTGCTTTAGCAAAGCTACCTAACTAGTGACACAAAAGGTTCTTTCATCAATTACTCGACTATTAGGCACCGACACGTTTGAATATATAAATTACTCTTATTGTCTAAATTTCAAACTTTTTTTTTTTATGTTACTACTAGCATAATATATGTAAGTTAAAATGGAAAGAGATTTGGGCTTGGGCCTGATGGGACCCGGATTAGCCCATACCTTACAACCCTTTCTCGAGCGGATCCATAATTCTGGATCCTCCCGTCCCTAGCCCACCGCCCCATTTCACCAGAGCGTGCTTGATTAAAAACGCGCTCCTCCGCGCGTGTTCTCACTTCTCACCTCCGTTCCAGTTTCCCCAACCCGCGATCCCAAAAGCTTTGCCTCTTTCCGCACCATTTCTATACTTCAAATCGGCCTTTGCCCAGCTTCCGTCCCTTCGATTTGGTTTGCCCTCTCGACGGGAAATTTTCCGGTAACTAAAACGCATAATTTATAGAGGTTGGTTCCAGTCCTAGTACATCGCTTGCAGATCCCCGCACAACCGATTTTAGAGAGATTCCCGGTTCTGTTTCCCGCGTTTGAAGATTGCCCTTGAAGGAGAATTGAGTCCCCCGGATCTATTTACCGTTCCGTACTTCAGCTGAATTATTTTGGGGGGGAAGTTGAAGCAGGGTATTGTTAGTTTTACTTTTTATTACTCTGGAGGAGAATTTTCCTGGTAGTTGCAAGATGAGCTTAGATCTTGGGTTGAATTCGGAGGTGAGATGGTTGATGGGTTGAATTCGGCGATACCCATTTGGAGAGTCTTCATTTTGTCGTCGGGATTGAGTGTGTTCGATGGGACTTGATTGGTGTTGTAGTGAAGGACTGAGTCGAGTTTCGAGTTTTGCTGGTTCAGATTCGAGGTGAATTTTGGCTTCCCTTTCTTTGGGAGTTTCCGATAAGGAGGGAACAATGTTTTGGAGGGATCGCGAAAGGGAGAGCAAGGAGCTTAATGGCGGGCCGCCATGTGGTCTGGTTCGTGTTCTTGTTGTTGGTGATTCAGGTAAATATCTAGTCTTTCTTTGGTAAAAGCTTGTGCATTAATTGCTTTAGCCTTTTATCTTAGTTCACTTTGGTAATATTTTGATTGTTTATAGTAATCATGGATGAGATGAGGCTATTCATTCATCATGGAAATAAACCCGTAGTTAACTAGAAGTAAAAGTTGCCTTGGAAACAAGAATCATGGATGATCTCTTGGATACTTGTTCATTTATGAATTGAGGTCTTTTGGGTGTTTGTAATGTGGTTGAAGATTCTTACTTGTACTTCTGTCATTAAGAGAGGTTGAAAGGATTCAATTGACGAGTTGTACTGGAACTAGGGCTTACCAATTCAAATCCGGTGGCTTTTATAGTCAATGCTTAATGGGAATAGTCTAGGCGTGAGATTTGGACCTAACTAATGATACTTGGAATGCTAGAGTAGGTCTAAGAGTCAAATTCAGTTGGAGAATGTACATAAATAAAATGTATATTGGTGAGATTGCTGAATCTCGATTTTACGTTAAAACCTTCCTATGTTGTTGAAATTTTGGCATGGGTTGCTCTGTTTTGTGGCATCATTTCTTTGTCTTGTAATTCAATCTCTTAACATGTTAAGTGTTAACCTCCATAGGTGTGGGGAAAACTTCTCTTGTGAATCTGATGGTCAAAGGCTCTTCCTCTGGCCGCCCTCCTCAAACAGTTGGATGCAATGTTGATGTCAAGGTGCCATGAGAATATTTATCTTTTCACAATTTTTGTTGCTAATTTTGTTTTGTAACTTTCGAGTTTCAACTTTGTACTAATTCACCGAGATCATTAATGTTACTGCTCTGCAGCACATTACTTATGGTAGTAGTGGCAGCTCTTCCAGCAGCATGAAAGGTGATGGTGAGAGAGATTTCTTCGTTGAGCTTTGGGATGTGTCAGGACACGAGCGCTACAAAGATTGTAGGTCTCTTTTCTATTCCCAAATTAATGGTGAGCACAGACTCAGCTATGCAGCTACTATTTTCATCAGCTTTGGAATGATTTCATAAAAGATTACATCTTCTGTGAGAACTTAGAATGTGTGTCCTATGGAAGTTAGTGATTCGATCATCTAGTCATCAGAAGCTTAGTTGTAATTGAAGTCTTGTGATTTTAGATTTCTCCTGTTCTGGACTAAGGTAGCTGGTTTAGCTAGCCCAATTCTCTCTCTCTCTCTCTCTCTCTCTCTCTCTCTCTCTCTCTCTCTCTCTCTCTCTCTCTCTCTCTCTCCCTCCCTCGCTTAGCTAGCCTGATTCCATCGTTTACTCCTGATGATGGTTTCAACTGTGTTTTTTCTTTCTCCAGGAGTTATATTTGTTCATGATCTGTCACAGAGAAGGACAAAAACAAGCTTGCTACACTGGGCTTCAGAAATTGCAGCAACTGGAACCTTCTCTGCCCCTTTGGGTTCTGGGGGTCCTGGCGGTCTCCCTGTACCCTACATTGTTATTGGCAATAAAGCTGATGTGGCAGCGAAGGAAGGCACAAGAGGAAGCAGTAGCAACCTGGTTGATGCTGCTCGCCATTGGGTTGAGAAGCAAGGACTGCTTCCGACCAGCGATGAACTTCCATTGACCGACAGCTTCCCGGGAAGTACAGGACTTCTTGCTGTAAGTTTTTTTGTCCATCTGCCTTGGATTTTTTTGACACAAGGTGAACTCAACATTTTGTTCTCCCTTAGGCTTGCTGTATGCAACTCTTAAGATTTTTAGGGCAGAATGTGGTCTAACTGTTTTACATAGATCAAGGAAGGGCACTGGGAGGTTTTTATGCCATTCAAATTGAAAAATCGTTAATCAATCACATTCAAATCATTTTTACAATAAGCTGGAATCCAAATAACGATCTGTATGTTAAATTTGGACAGGCTGCCAAAGAGGCAAGATATGACAAGGAAGCTGTGATCAAGTTTTTCCGTTTGGTTAGTAATGCATCTTCGCTGTCATTTCACTCCCTCCTGCATTTCCTGTTCCCTTCATATAGTTGACATTAGCCAACTGCCCAATTAATTTCAGTTAATCCGGAGAAGATATTTCTCAGATGAGTTGGTCAGCAGTCCTAGTCCATGGTCAGCTTCTCCAGCTCAAAGGTCTCAGCAACATCTTGACGAAGATATAACTGAGGAAAACCAGTTTTACAAGAGCACGAGGTAAAACTGTTCCGAAACTCCAGCTAGAACATTTGTGTATTTCACTGAGATTGCGAATTTTTTTGCTTGGCCCGGCCTGACATCCTTCCTCAGTACAATGAGTTCATAATACATATTTTTTTTTGTTATCATCCCGTGATCTCAATGGCTTTTTGGTGACCATCTCTTGCAGTCTGGGTGGCGATCCTTACAAATACAACAGTCTACCTCCCCTGCCTGCACAGCGAAATCTCACGCCGCCTCCCACGCTTTATCCTCAGCAGCCGGTTTCAGTAATGGAGAACTACAACTTCCCAAGGTTTCCCTCATTGGGTTCTCAAGAAATCAGCAGCAGTACGAGGTCGAAACGGTTGGACATCAATGTATGAACTTTGGTTCGGTGAAATTTTTTGGTCCTGTAAACCATCCACATCATTCTTTTTCGTTTGTTCCCTTTTCATCGTCTGTATGAAGGAAGAATTCCTGGTGTAAGGTGAGGGTGTGAGTTGAAAGAGTTTGGAATATATGTATAACATAGCCTTTTGTATATGCATTCATTGTTACAACCTCAATTACTTCTTACACAAGTGTAATCACGAAAAAGCTCTCGGTCGGTGTGGTTTATGCAATATCCTGTGTAGTTTACATCTTCACATTATCGTTAGGTCAATTTCTTTATTCGTAAGAATCCTTCTTGAGGAAAGAATGCAATTTTTCCCCGTTGAATCAGATCCTTGGATTAAAGAAAATGCCAAATTTGCAAACTGATACAACGAGAATAGAGGCATACCTCTATGTACACACAAACTTTTCTACCTCTCACCATTCTGCTTCACTGTATGGCTATTTGTGTACTATCAACAAACACTATAGTATTGTCTACTCTCCATCTAAGTGCAAAAAAGCCAGCTCCTCCTGCAATTGCTCATTAGAGAGTGCCAGAAACTGAAGATCTCGCTTAATCTTACGTGCAAGCACTGCCATGTCACAGTGCATCTCTCCATGAATCCGATTACAGCACTCCTTCCAGATGGCAGTCACAAGAACACATCACAGAAGCCCAGCAACTCGACCATGAGCAGATTGCTTTGTAGAAGCTTCAATTGCAGCAGTAACTGTAGAATCCCAAGAGGATCGACAAAACAGCTGCGCAAGCCCCAGGCCTTGAACCAAACCTTTAGCAAATGAACAAGAGAAGAATAGATGTTCTCTAGTTTCAACAGCCTCGGGACATAACAGACACTTAGGATCAAGCAATTTACCCCACTGTCACAGTTTGACCTTTGTCACTATTCACCATTACCAACCATGCAACAATACTGAACCTAGGAGGGCAGAATCGATTCCAAATCAATTGATGCATCTCACATGGCTCTCTTGCACTCTTATGGAGTTCCATACTGTACTTACAGAGTATTTAGGCATAGGAGTTCTGTCCCAAAACACCTCTGATCTCTGTTTGCTTAGCTTAGTTCCTATAGAATCTCTGAGTTTCAGAATCCTCCGCCACACCCAAGAACTGTTAGAATTGAGCTTCAAAGAGGAAATAGTTCCATCCCCACATCTGTAAGTCTTCATACAAACAAACCCAGATAGTCGCGGACTCCATTAAAAACAACCAAAGCATTCGCCCCACACATGCAATGTTCCACGATATCAAATCTTTATTTCCTAGTCCACCTTCCTTTTTTGGTTTGGTAACTCTCTCCCAAGCAACTATGGCCTTTCCTTCACCATCTCCATGCCATAAAAGCTGGAGCAAACTCTATATAGTCTCTTTATCACCTTCTTAGGCAACAAGAAGATCTGCATCCAGTACTGTATGATGCCCATGAACACAGAAGCCACCAGCTGTAGTCTCCCAGCATAGGATAGCTTCTTACCTCTCCAAGTTTTCATCTTCTTTGTTAGTTTCTGAACAAGACAATCCGCCTTCTTTAGAGGATAACTTACCAGAAGGCAAATATTTTGACTAAACAAAGATGATTGTTTTTTCCTTCTTTCCCCCTTCTGCCTGCCTTACTGCTAAACAAGATCTTCCCAGTTGCAAAAAGCTCTTTGTTTTGTTGCCTTTGGCAGCAATACCTATCTCAAATGTTCTGGGAACTTTTGTAATAGAAAAACTGATGTTTGCCCCAAATGTCAGCATCTCCAAGGCAACAAAGGCATAGCTGCTGAATCCAGTACTGGAAGTCCACAATTGGGAAAAAACTCTTAAGAACCAAAGAGTACTTTCTTGCCACTAAGCATGCAAAGCAATCAGAAGGGTTAGTAGAACAGTACGAAGACACACTAACAAAAAGAGAGGATATGAGAACCACAGAGGATCAGAGCTCATACGTTCCACAGATGCTGCCAGCAGAAAGACATAACCATGCAAAATGTACTAGCAGGAAGAGCCAAACTGGTGTTTCGAGCAACAATTTTAGCAACATTTTGGGGTGATGTTTGTCTCTGCTGATAAACCCTTCGGCCTCATCCCAATAAAGCTCTCTACAACCAAAGAGTACTTTCTTGCCACTAAGCATGCAAAGCAATCAGAAGGGTTAGTAGAACAGTACAAAGACACAATAACAAAAAGAGAGGATATGAGAACGACAAAGGACCAGAGCTCATACATTCCACAGATGCTGCCAGCGGAAAGACATAACCATGAAAAATGTACTAGCAGGAAGATCCAAACTTGGTGTTTTGAGCAACAATTCTAACAAGCTTCTGGGGTGATGTTTCTCTCTGCTGATAAACCCTTGGGCCTAACCTCCTCACCAGCCTTTCCAGAATCACCAAGCAGCTTTCTGACAACTGGATGATTCAGTTGATTTTTCGACGTTAAATCCATCAGCAAGGATAGTGTGGTTGTATCAGCTGCGAAACCCTTGGACCACATTTCTTGGATAAGATCCCCAGCTTCAAGTGGATCTTTATGCCGAAGAAATCCATGGATAATGAAGTTATAAGACCAGCTATTTGGTGGACAACTAACCCCTTCCATTGTTCTAAACAAATTGTATGCTTCATTTACCAAACCTTGCGTACAAAGTCCATTGATTACTACGTTATACGTGTGGGTATTTGGCTGTAAGCACTCATCTTTAATGAGGGTAGAAAACATCTCCCTTGCTTTATTAACCCTCCCTGCTTCAAACAAACCAGCAATAAAGAAGTTATACATATGAACATCGGGCTTCAACCTGTTACTTTTCATTGCTTCAAATAGAGCCAATGCTTCATCAAGATAGCCTTGGTTGCACAAATTAATAAGCAAAATACTATATGTCACAACATCCGGGGAGAAACCTTGACAGCACATTTTCTTGAGAAGCTCTCGTGCATCTTCAAGCCTTCCTGTAAGGCAATATCCATTCATGAGAGTATTATATGTAAACGTTTCGGGAGACACATTCTTCTCAATCATATCATTAAATAACTGCTCGGCTTCCTCTATCCTTTTACTTTTGCAATATCCATCAATCATGATGTTATAGTTGTAAACGTTAGGCTTGCATCCCGTGAGAACCATACAATCAAATAACCGCCGCGCCTTGTCTACTTCGTTCCGCAGGGAATACCCATTCATCAATGAATTGTATGTGATATTATTTGGACGCAGGCCTCTTTGAATCATCATTTTGACTACAGCTTTAGCCTCCAACACACTTCCTTTCTTACAAAAAGCATCAACCAGTATGCTGACGGTATATGCATTCGGCATGATGTTCTTTTCTATCATTTCATCCAACAACTTTATAGCTTTATTCTCTTGGCCTGAAATACATAGACCATGAATGAAGCAAGTATAAGTCACAACATCTGGAAGCATACCTCTTCGATTCATCATTTTGACTACAAATTTAGCTTTCATCAGATTTCCCATCTTACAAAAAGCATCGACCAGTATGTTGAAGGTATATACGTTAGGCATGACGTTCTTTTCTATCATTTCATTCAACAACATAATAGCTTCATTCTGTTGCCTTAAGATGCACAGTCCATGAATCAAGCAACTATAAGTGACCACATTTGGCGAAACTTTTCTTCCCTTCATTCTGGAAAAAACATCTAAGGCTTTGCATAGCAACCCTTCCTTACAGAAGCTGTCAATGATTGTGCTATAATTAGAAACGTCAGGTTGACAACCCATATCTTCCATTTTCTTGAGCAATTCAAAACCCGCATTTGCTTGTCCTGCTTTGCATAGTCCATTGATGATTGGGGTGTATGTGTACACATCGGGTTGATATCCCAACATCCTTATTTTATCAAACAACTTCACAGCCCGAGCAAGTTTTCCATCTTTAGAGAGCCCATTAATCAGTGTACCGAACGTGACAACATCAGGTTGAACTCCAAGTTTAAAAGCTTTACCCAAAACTGAAAAGCCAACATCCGCACGGCCTAATTTACACAAGCAATGAATCAACATGTTGAGTGTGTACTCATTGTGTGGAATTCCAGCCAATTCCATTGATCTAGATACAGAGAAGGCAGTATGGGGTACGTTCATTTTCAAAAGATAGGACAATACCTGACCAAATCTCGCAGTAGAAGGCTTGGGATTCATGCAGACCATCAATTCAAAAGAAGCCAAGGCATCATCAACGTTTATGAAAGTAGCAGAATTTGACGTACCAGGAGTAGTTGGATTCCACCCAGAGCAAGATGAGTAAGTCGATGCCAGAAAAGCAGAAGAACAAGCAAAATCAGTCGTACAGGCTGTTCTTGGCCGCTGAAACCTGGACCAGTTTCGATGGCTGATTCTGCTGTTGAGGATCATCGAGTTCCTCATGTCGAGTAGCAACAGAGAGAAACTTCCAGCGTCCAATCAGCTATAAGGAACGGAACCCAGCTGTTGTCCAAATCAATTTTCAGAAGCAACCAACAAGAAAGATGCGAACTTGGAATCGCAACCTGAATAGCACCAAGAACAGGAATAAACCCCAAATCAGAACAATGTATGAAGTTTCTTGGCCTTCGAGAATAGATAATTTCCTTCCGGCGGTCATACTCCGATGAAAAGCGATTCGGCCGTCGTATGAACTAGGAAGTGGCCGTGGCAGGTGAGGGGAGAGAGGGAGAGCGGATTTGCTCTTACTTAGTACCGGCGGCGGAGCTGCAGATGCTGACGGCTGAGATGAAGGAGATCCGGAAGTCCTTCGAAACGGGCCCGGCCCAGGTCGAGAAGATGTGCGGCAACGCGCTCGGGATGGTGGTGAACATGACGGACACGGACATCGCAGCTAACGGCGTCAGCAGGGAGGAAGAGGAGAGGAAGAGTAGTAACGGGGTGTGGCCGGAGTGGATGAAGGCCGGGGACAGGAGGCTGCTGCAGGCGTCGACGGTGACGCCGGACGTGGTGGTGGCGGCGGACGAGAGCAGGAAGTATAGGAAGGTGGCGGAGGCGCCGAAGAAGAGCAGTGAGAGGTACGGGCTCGAATTGTATGGGAAAGGGAGAAGGGTTTGTGGCTGAGCTAAGCTTAGCCAAGCCAGTAGACTGTAGAAGGGTTTTTTCTTTTGAGCGGGCACCACAATTCAAAAATCAAAACCTAGAAATTTGGATTTAGATTTTAGGAGGATCCTAAAAACTAATGTATTTAAACCAAGGTTGTCAACCCGCGGGTTGACTCGGACCCGGTTGAATTAGTGGGTCAAGGGTTAATGGGTCACCCATTTTAGTCCGGTTTAGCCCGGAAATATGGAAAGCGTCATTATATTGTATTTATCCTGATAAATTATATAAAATCTCATCTAACATATGAGTTATAACATATAATATTACACCAAAATAACATTTCGTACTTAGATTCAACATATAGTGAAAATTCACACACACTTATATAACATTAATATTCAACTGTTCAACTTAGGATTCCAAAGATTGAGTTAGGCGAAAAGAAAAATCGGAAAATAGGCACATTTCGCAAAACAAAGAAAAAAATGACACAATTTGACCTCCAACTCGGTACCTTGTGGCGGTCGACCCGGCGGGTGCGTGCGGCCCGTTTTTCTCACCGGATCAGGGTCAAAGTGGGTCAACCCGCGGGTCGACAACCTTGATTTAAACAATTTGTGTGTTTTAATTGGGTTAATATATTTGTAAAGTCTGAACTTTGTACATAATAAACATTCTCGCCAATTTTTTTTATCTATAACATCCTGGATCAAACAATACACAAAAATTGGACAAACCAGATATTTGCTTCAAGATTTTTCTCCAAGTAATACTGCAGCGAAGTGGAAATAGGATATCATAGACCAATCTTAAAGCTCTCAAGCTCTCCAAAGTAATACTGCAGCCAGATAAATTACTATAACTGCAACTTCAAACAAGTCCAACCTAAAATTGGAATTCTGGGTACAATTTCCCACTTATCTAATCCAATAAAGAACACACTTTTCTTCTTGTCCATTTGGCAATAAACATTTGTACAATCCCAAAAAGCCAACTGCAAACAAATGACATCATGGAGAAGAAGCCAAATATTTGACTAAACTAAGATCATTGTTCTCCCCTTCTTTTCCCCCTTCTGCCTGCCTTGCTGCAAAAAGCACTTTGAATTGTTAGTAGACCAAGTGCAGGAAGTCCACAATTGGGAAAAAAAATCTTTAGAACCAAAGACTTTCCTACCACTAAGCACGCAAAGCAACCAGAAGGGTTGGTAGAACAATACAAACACACACTAACAAAAAGAGAGGCAGTGAGAACAACAAAGGAGTGGAAGCTTATACCTTCCGCAGATGTTGTCAGCTGAAAGACATAATTAACCACGCACAATGTACTACCAGGAAGATCCAAACTCGGTGTTTCGAGCAACAATTCTAACAAGCTTCTGGGGTGATGTTTCTCTCTGCTGATAAACCCTTGGGCCTAACCTCCTCACCAGCCTTTCCAGAATCACCAAGCAGCTTTCTGACAACTGGATGATTCAGTTGATTTTTCGACGTTAAATCCATCAACAAGGACATTGTGGTTGTATCAGCTGTGAAACCCTTGGACAACATTTCTTGGATAAGATCCCCAGCTTCAAGTGGACCTTTATGCTGAAGGAATCCATGGATAATCATGTTATAAGACTTGCAGTTTGGTGGACAAGCAACCCCCTCCATTGTTCTAAACAAATTGTATGCGTCATCTACCAAACCATGCCTACAAAGTCCATTGATTACTATGTTATATGTGCAGGTATTCGGCTTTAAGTAGTCACCTTCACCGAGGGTAGAAAACATTTCCCTTGCTTCATTAACCCTCCCTGCTTCAAACAAACTAGCAATAAGAACGTTATACATGTGAAGATCGGGCTTCAACCGATTACTTTTGATTGCTTGAAATAGAGTCAATGCTTCGTCTAGAAAGCCTCGGTTGCACAAATTAATAAGCAAAGTCTTATATATCACAACGTCCGGGGAGAAACCTCGACTGCACATTTTCTTGAGAAGCTCTTGTGCATCTTCAAGCCTTCCTGCATGGCAATATCCATTCATGAGAGTATTATATGTAATAGTGTTGGGAGACACATCCTTCCCAAGCATATCATTAAATAACTGCTCGGCTTCCTCCATCCTTTTACTTTTGCAATATCCATCAATCATGATGCTATAGCTGTAAACGTCAGGCTTGCATCCCGTGAGAACCATACAATCAAATACCCGCCGCGCCTTGTCTACTTCGTTCCGCATGCGATACCCATTCATCAATGAATTGTATGTGATATTATTTGGAAGCAGGCCTCTTTGAATCATCATTTTGACTACAACTTTAGCCTCCAACACATTTCCTTTCTTACAAAAAGCATCAACCAGTATGTTGACGGTACATGCATTCGGCATGATGTTCTTTTTGATCATTTCATCCAACAACTTCATAGCTTCATTCTCTAGACTCAAGATACATAGACCATGAATCAAACAATTATAAGTCACCACATTTGGAAGCAAGCCTCTTTGAATCATCATTTTGACTACAACTTTAGTCTCCAACACATTTCCTTTCTTACAAAAAGCATCAACCAGTATGTTGAAGGTATATGCGTCCGGCATGACGTTCTTTTCTATCATTTCATCCAACAACTTCATAGCTTCATTCTCTTTGCTCGAGATACATAGACCGTGAATCAAACAATTATAAGTCACCACATTTGGAAGCAAGTCTCTTTGAATCATCCTTTTGACTACATCTTTAGCTTCCAACACATTTCCTTTCTTACAATAAGCATCGACCAGTATGTTGAAGGGATATGCGTTGGGCATGACGTTCTTTTCTATCATTTCATCCAACAGCTTGATAGCTTCATTCTCTTTGCTCGAGATACATAGACCGTGAATCAAACAATTATAAGTCACCACATCTGGAAGCAAGCCTCTTTGAATCATCCTTTTGACTAAAGCTTTAGCCTCCAACACATTTCCTTTCTTACAAAAAGCGTCGACCAGTATGTTGAAGGTATATAAGTTAGGCATGACGTTCTTTTCTATCATTTCATCCAACAACATCATAGCTTCATTCTCTTGGCTCGAGATACATAGACCATGAATCAAACAACTATAAGTCACCACATTTGGAAGCAAGCCTCTTTGAATCATCCTTTTGACTACAACTTTAGCCTCCAACACATTTCGTTTCTTACAATAAGCATCGACCAGTATGCTGAAGGTATATGCGTCCGGCATGACGTTCTTTTCTATCATTTCATCCAACAACTTCATAGCTTCATTCTCTTTGCTCGAGATACATAGACCGTGAATCAAACAATTATAAGTCACCACATTTGGAAGCAAGCCTCTTTGAATCATCCTTTTGACTACAGCTTTAGCCTCCAACACATTTCCTTTCTTACAAAAAGCATCGACCAGTATGTTGAAGGTACATGCATTTGGCATGATGTTCTTTTCAATCATTTCATCCAACAACGCCATAGCTTCATTCTCTTGGCTTGAGATACATAATCCATGAATCAAGCAATTATAAGTGACGACATTTGGTGAAATATTTTCCCCCTTCATTCGAGAAAACACATCTAAGGCTTTGCATAGCAACCCATCCTTACAGAAGCTGTCAATGATTGTGCTATAATTAGCAACGTTAGGTTGACAACCTAAATCTTCCATTTTCTCGAGCAATTCAAAACCCGCATTTGCTTGTCCTGCTTTGCATAGTCCATTGATGATTGGGGTATACATTAACACCTCAGGTTGATATCCCAACATCCTAATTTTATCAACCAACTTCACAGCTTCAGCAAGTTTCCTGCTTTGCATAGTCCATTGATGATTGGGGTATACATTAACACCTCAGGTTGATATCCCAACATCCTAATTTTATCAACCAACTTCACAGCTTCAGCAAGTTTCCCATCTTTAGAGAGCCCATTAATCAATGTACCAAAGTTCACAACATTAGGTTGAACTCCAAGTTTAAAAGCTTTACCCAAAACTGAAAATCCAACATCCGCACGGCCTAATTTACACAAGCAATGAATCAACATGTTGAGTGTGTACTCATTGTGTGGAATTCCAGCCAATTCCATTGATCTAGATACAGAGAAGGCAGTATGGGGGACGTTCATTTTCAGAAGATAGGACAATACCTGACCGAATCTCGAAATGGAAGGCTTGGGATTCATGCTGACCATCAATTCAAAAGAAGCCAAGGCATCATCGACGTTGATGAAAGTAGCAGAATTTGACGTACCAGGAGTAGTTGGATTCCACCCAGAGCAAGATGAGTAAGGCGATGGTGCTAAAGCAGCAGTGGAACAAGTAAAATCAGTCATACACGCTGTTCTTGGCCGATGAAATCTGGACCAGTTTCTATGGATCATCGTCTTCCTCATTCCAAGTAGAGTAGCAATAGAGAGAACTACCAGCATCCAATAACGGAACCCAGCGGTTCTCGAAATCAATTTTCGGAAGCAACCAACCGTCAAAGATGCGAACTTGGAATTGAAACCTGAATAGCACCAAGAACAGGAATAAACCCCAAATCAGAACAAATGTACCGAGTTTCTTGGCCCTCCGTGAGTAGATAATTTCCTTCAGACTGTGACCCTCTGATGAAAAGCGATTCGGCCGTCTTAGGAAAAGTGGCAGTGGCAAGAAGAGAGTGGGAGAGCTGCTTCTACCGACGGCGGAGCGGGAGAAGGTGAGAGGAAGAATTCGCCGTCGTCTAGTCGTTTTCTGGACTGGTACCCGTACTAGGTAGAGTTCCAGTCCATATATATTTTGTGGGCTGTTCGGATTACTGGGTCAACCCGATTCAGTAGAGACTAGAGAACCAAAGCAGCCAAAAAAACCCACAAAAAACCGAAAAGGAAACGGAAAATCGGAAACACATTCATCCAACTAGTATATATACTAGCTTTGTCCCCGGCCTATTGGCCGGGATCATTTAATATATTTCTTTAATTTATTTCAATTTTATTGAAAAAACTTACGTTGTTATAATTGATTTTTCTAGAGAAAAGTTGTCGTTGTGACTCCAATGTATACATTGACTCAGTGCCTATGTTTAACCTGACTTTTAGAAGTGCTTTTCGTATGCAAAAACTGAAGCAGGGCCAAACATATATAATAGTTCGGCTTTTGAAAAGCCAAAAAGCGTTTTTGTATAACATAAAAGTAGAAGCTCCGATTTGGATCTTCTGCGAAAAGCTATTTTGAAAATATAAGATTATCCTTACCATATTTTAATTTTATTTCAGAAAATATGATTTTCCTTCATTTATATAATTTTAAAAATAAAGTATAAAATCATATTATTTAATATAAAAGAAGTCTAATAATATCCATTTTTACTATATTTTATTGTTTAGAATTATTATTCATAGTTTATATTATAAGTCATTTATAGTCATTTCACACAATCTCTCATATTAAAAAGCACTTTTAATAAATTTTCAACCAAACACTCAACTGTTTTTTTAAGTAATTCTCTAAAAGCTCAAGCGATAAACTGATTCTGCAAAATCTACAACAGGACCTAACTGAGCTAGTATAAACTAATTTCTGAATAGGGGTGGTAAACGGTAATCCGGTAAGTGGTTTACCGTTTTACCGAACCGGTAACCGGCGGTAAACGGTAAACCGTTTACCGACGGTATCGGCAGCCGAGCGGGAAGTTGGGAGAGTCGGTTTACCGAACACGGTATCGGTAAATACCGACGGTAAACCGGTATTACCGATACCGAATCCCCCCTCCCTAGTGCTACGCTGCGTTTTGTTGCTTTACCCCCCAAAAATATAAAATATTACATACATGAATGTAAGTATAGGCCTCAAAAATATTGTAAATAAGAGTTAATAATAAATTATTAATTACAAAAATGATGAAAAAAACTCAAAAAAATCAAAATATTACAACATCACCCCACTTCCAGAAATTCGGTTCGGTAAATATTCGGTAAACCGACCGAAAAACCGCCTAAAATCGCTTCTCACGGTATTTCGGTAATACCGATTTGTAACCATTTACCGGTAATTCGGTAATCGGTATCGGTAACCAGTTTGGCCAACTTCGGTGTACCGAAACCGATAAATTCGATAAACGGTAAATTGTTTACCGACCGAATCCCACCCCTATTTCTGAATCAACTTCTCATTGCTCAATCAATAATTTTAAATCTTTATCTAACCAAAACAGGTTTTTAAAATAAATCATTCAAACTTTTAATCATTATCAAAACTCTTGGTTCAATTCTCAATTCATAAGTCAATATAGTAAATATTGAAATTTTAATGATTCAATTATAAAATCTTGACTCATGCCGTGTAGCTTGATGTCTTTATAATTCTAGGAGAGTTTATATTTTCATGACTAAAATTTACAAATTCCTACAACATCGCAATTGTAAGTCTTTGCCAATTTATTTTCCTGAATAAAATTTACAAACTCTTATAACATTGCAAAATTTTACATGGTTATGAAACTTGGGATGTATTGTAGACTACATATATTCCTTTTTAACACTAATTAAAAGTTAGTCTTGTCGACATCACTAAAGTATAATTTTAAACTCATGGCAGAATACCAACCACATAACATTGACAAAAACACTTAAAATCCATTCTTAAAATGACCCATATTTTTCTAAACAAAGCACCATGTAATGTGAAGAATCAGAAAAGTCAGGAAACAGATAAAACTTGTGTAGAAGAAAAAAAAACCGAGAAAAATTGTACCGCAAGTGGAGATTTGGTAGATGGTAGCCGTGATTGGATTAAGTTTTGCACAAAGCGGTGTCTGGGGAGAAACAAAGGTTTTTAAAAATTGCACCATTGTTAGGAGAGTAGGGGTTATTTGCAGTTATTTGGAGTTTGAAATTGCCGAAAAGAAGTGGTGGTTTGCATTTGATTTATTTGAATGAAAATGCAGATGTTCTTGAGATAAGGTTTGTCTCTTGGTGGTGAAAGTCTGAAAGACAGTGTCGATTGGTAGGGTTTTCTCTTTTCTGTTTGATTTGTTCTGATTGTAATAGAAGTGGATGGGCTCTAATATGAGTTGGTCCGTAGTATGGATGAGAAAGCCTTTTAACATTTTCTTATAATTTTGAGCCCAATAAAAGCCTCGTATAGAAAAGAAGAAATTTGGCAAAATACACTTGTATAGCCATAACTTTCACGTTTGTGACAAATATAACCATAACTATCGGAAAACACAAAATAGCCAACAAATCGGATGGTCATGTGACAAATTTAGCCATTTCCATTAGAAACTTTAACGGTGTTAAAAGCTCCGTTAGTTAGGTTATCGTTAGACTGATTAGGATGCCAAATCATCACCCACGTCAGCGACCAGTCATCATATTAATGCCACGTCATTTTGAGTTATAAAAATAATTAATTTTGAAATTAAAAAAATATTTTTTCTAACTTTCCCCCTTCCCTCTGCTGTGCATTATCTCTCAACCTTCCTCTGCCATCGTCATATCTTAAAAAAAAAAACTCAATCCTAAGAATCCAGATCAAGAACCCTTCGTTGATTTCCCAAATCTGCCTTTTCCCATCTTCCCAATTTGTCTCGCTTGAATCCTCCCCCAACCATAACCAAAAACCCCAAATCCAAACCCAGCCTTCTGTTCCCCAAAATCCCTTCATCCTTCCGACGCAATCTTCAATTCGTGTCCCCAAATCAGATCCCGGCGACGTTTAGTCGCAACCGAAGTGGCTGTCGACGCGAGCGCCGGTAGATCCAGTCGCGGTCCAGCTCCTTGTCGCGTCCGCATCATCACCGTCGAGGATCGGTATATCCAATCGTGCTCAGCCCAGTCAAACCTTAACTCCGGCGATCACGAAAGCTCAGCCATAATCGACCTCCAAGTCGTCGCGTCGACACGAACTCGACCTCTAGTTTCGAGAAGAACAGGAGCTCCAGCCGACGGATCTGAATCGTCCCCGCCGTACGTGCTCAGCATGCTCGACCCAGATCAGGCGTCGCTCTGATTCGAGATTCAAACTCCCTCAACATTTATTGTAGTCGATACTTTTGGTGGGCGGGGGTTTCTTGCGACGACGCTGACGCTTCTATAACGGCGGAGGGCAGGGGGCGGGGGAGGCGCGGTTTTGGGTTTGCCGGCGGACTTGGACTCCTTATCGGATGGGACGAGGAATTGGGAAGGACGAGTGGGTCTTCGTCTGGAACTGGATTTGAAAGCAGAGACCGCCATTGATGGGTGTAGACGGAGGAGCTGAGCTCACTCGATTTGGGAATTCCGCTAGAACACCTTGTTGGATGCTGCAGAGACGGGGCGGAAATCAGGAAAGAGTCTGGGTTTGGGTACAAGGAACTTTGGATCTTTCCTCTATGGCCGGAAAAGGAATTAGCAGAAGAGGATGTTTATGGTGGGCGGATAAGGAATTAGTGGAAGAGGAAGAAAATGGTTTATGGTTTTATGTGTTAATTTGTTCTTTTTTGTTTAAATTTGTTTTCATTTATTTTATTTTATTTCCACGTCTGATTTCCACGTCAGAAGGTGGGGTAACTCAGTGGCCAACTCAGCGCAAGCCGTTAGTACAGTCATAACGTCTACTAACACCGTTACCAAAATGGACGGAATTGGCTATTTGTGGTTTTCGAATAGAAATGGCTATATTTGTCAAAAGTGTGAAAGTTATGGCTATACATATGTATTTTGCCAAGAAATTTTGATCGGGACAGGGAGGAAAGATAATGTGATGACGTGGAAGCCTAAATAGATGTAAAATTTGAATCCCTGAACTACTTTTCAAGAAGCTAGAATAATCACTTCCCTCTTTTGAAAACATGTCTCTCTCCTCTCTCTTTCTAATGGAACTATCCTCTGAACCCAACGGTTCTTTTTCCGTCCCCTTCGTTGGGACTGCTCCTGCTCAACCCGAGAGCGCCATTAACATTCTTCAACCACCAACCGCAGATTGCAAAGATCTGTATGACAAGAAGGAGGGAGGGAGGATCAACACATCAACAACAGGGGAGATTCGCGCAGAGAATGGACAAGGCAGAGGAAGGACAACAGAAGATATAAAGAGAAGGGGGATTTGGAAACCGCCAGACTGGTGGAAATCGACCTTCTGCTGTCAGAAAGGTGAGAAGAAGAACAGAGAAGTACAAAGGAATAGAAGGGCTACTGGAGATTACCCAGAAGTAGACACCAGCAATAGGAAGAGGAGGGACGGAAGTCTTGAGCCAAGTGCAGAGGAAGCAGAGGCAGAAAGGCAGAACAGGGGTAATACCAGTCAACAGGGGAATAATGAATGCATTGACAAGATGCAAAACCACATCCAGCAAGGTGAAATTAAAGGCAGTCTGCCGAAAGAAGGATTTAAAGAGGGCGAGAAGGGGAGGAGGAGGGCACCTGCTTTTGAGAGAAATCCCAAACCCAGAACCCTCTACAGCTCAAAACACCCCCTGTTTTACCCTGCAAACAACAAAAACAGAGAAGACAGAGAAAGAACCCCCTCCACTCACCATGGACATCAACAACAACAGAGCCCCTAGCAGAGCCAGAGAGGAGAGCAGGCTTACCCAATCATCCATAAGAAGCAGAGCTGATCGTCCAATCCTCACTTCCACAGGAGGCAGAGGTATTTCCATGCTTCTGGGGAAGATGTTGACCGAGAACAGAGTATCACTGGCAAAGGCAGCGGGTGCGGCACGCTATGCTTGTGGGGGATATGGAGAGGTAAATGTCCAACCTACTGAGACACAGAACCTTTTCATATTCACCTTTAGCAATGAAGAAATTAGGGAAAAGATATGGAGGGAAAGACCATGGAGTCTGTCAAACACGCTGACTGCAGTGGAGAAGTACAACGGGAGGGGCAAACCAGAAGAAGTGCCAATGAAGAAGGTGGCTATGTGGGTACAAATTCATGGTATGCATCAAAACTAGAGGAGCGAACAGAACATGGTGGCGATCGGAACTCACTACTTCCCGGGGTTCCTCGACTTGGACAGAGCTAGCTTGGAGTTCTCCGGGTACAGAAAATTCTTGAGGATTCTGGTGGAGGTCGATCTAAGAGAGCCAGTCCCGATCGGATTCGACTTTCCGTTCACAGATGAAATCACAGGAGAAGAGCACTGCGACATTATCGATTTCAAATACGAGAGGTTGGTGGAATTGTGCTATTTCTGTGGGAGAATTGGCCACAACTGGCCGACCTGCTGGAGAATGAACGAAGAGAGAAAGAGGAATGGGATTGCTTACCTATCTGAAGTTTACAATTCGTCGCTGAAAGCGGGAATTGACTCACCCCACAGGAACCAGGCGGCCAGTTTCAGAAGCAGCAGGGAGGGGGAAAGCTCCCAAGGCTCATCAGCGGGAAGGGAGAGAATGAGCTCGGGAAGTCAGGGGCGTTGGAGGGAAGAAGAGGGAGCGATGGCGGAAAGGGAGAGGGCGAGCTCGGGAAGCCAGGGGAGATGGAGGGAAGAGGAGGGTGGGGCGAGGTCGGCAATGGAGGGAGGGAACTTGGAAGGGAACATACAAATCCCTCCAGGTTTCACAGTGAGAAGGGTGGAGCAGGGATTCCATGGAGAGGAAGAACAAGAGACGCAGGGTAGAGGAAGAGGAAGATACCGAAAGGAGATGGGAGCAACAAACCTGAGTTGGGAGATGGACAGGGCAGCGGCGGCGATGGAGAAAGGGCTGTGTTTGGAAGAGGAAAGGCTCAACCAGGAATTTGGGCGGCCAATAGTGGAGACTGCCCTTTCTCTTGGGCCAACCCAACAAGTCCCTTCAGCCCATCAAGAAATACCAGCCCAAAGCCTGAATCAAGCAGGCCTTTTTTTGAGTGCTGATTATCAGCACACACAAGAACTAGGGGAGGAAGGAGCGGGCCGCAAGCAAAAGAAGAGGAAGGGGATGGGCCTGGTTGGGGGAGATAGGCCCAGGGCCGAATTGGGAGAAGAAGAAGCCTTCCAATTTGGGCCAGCAGGTGGATTTGAAGTAGGAGGGCTTGGGGATGGGACCAAAAAGAAGAATTTGAAGGTAAAATCTCTGAACCCTAACACCTCCAAGGGGAATCAACATGAAATCAATCAAGAGGGAAGAGGGAAGAAGAATAAGGCAGCGGTGGTTCGCCAGAAGCCACCTCTTCAAGAATGAGTATCGTAAGTTGGAATTGTAGGGGATTTGGCCCAACCCTTACAAGAAGTTATGCGAAACATCTCTGTAGACGTTTAGGCCCTTCGATTGTCTTCCTCATGGAAACAAGCAAGAATGAATCATTCATGGAGGAGCAAAGAAGAAGTCTCAAAGTTTTCCCCAATAAAGAGTATGTAGAACCGGTCAACTCTTCTAGGGGTTTTGCACTTTGGTGGAAAGCGGGTATTAGCATTAATATTTTAAGTAGTGATAGCTACTATATGGATTGTAGTATTGATATGGGTAGGAAGTTCTTCTGTACTTTTGTTCACGCACCCTCTACAGCTGTTAGTAGAAGGGAATTTTGGGAGCACCTGAGCTCTCTTCGGAGTAGTAGGGAGGATAACTGGGTTATTGTTGGTGACTTCAACGCTGCTATCTATGAAAGCGAGAAAGAGGGGCGATGTCCTCTTAGGTACGAGAATGTTGAACCTTTTAAAAGGTTTATTTTCAACAACGCACTTATTGATCTGGGTTTCAAAGGAGAGCCCTTCACCTGGACTAATAAGCGTATTGGCGAAAATACAACAAGAGTCAGACTTGATCGAGTGTTGTGCTCGACTTCTTGGAGGATCCTTTTCGGGGAGGCAACTGTTTTCCATGAGAGGATGGTAGAATCGGATCATTGCCCTATCAGGCTGGAGCTCTGTTATAGGGGAAATAGGAGGAGGAGAACACCATTCAGAGTTGATGAAAGATGGTTGGATAAGGAAGAATGTAAGGAAATTGTGGTCCGGGCATGGGACCCAGGAGGACAATCGTCTAACCAGCTGGCCAAGTGCGAGCAAGACCTTAAAGAATGGTCAAAAGACTTCCATAGGAATAGTCTACAGAGGGAGAAGGAAATTATGGATCGTCTTGATACTCTACAACGTCCTCCAAGAACTCAGGAAAGAGTGGAGGAAGAAAAAGAGCTCTATGAAGAACTTGCCAAGATGTGGAAGGAGGAGGAGGCTTTCTGGAATCAGTGTTCAAGAGTGAAGTGGCTACAGAAAGGGGATCAGAACAATTCCTTTTTCCATTCCAGCACGATCCATAGAAAGCACAAGAACAGGATTCTTAGACTAAAGGATGAAAGGGGTGAGTGGGTGGAGGATGAAAATAGGCTGAAAGGCCTGGCACAGGATTTCCACAAGGACCTCTTTAAAGCCAGAGACCACATTCCCTTTTCCCACCTCCTAGATGGATTCCCAGCAAAGGTTACAGCAGAGATGAATAGTGATCTATGTGCCACAGTAACCAATGAGGAAGTTAGGAAGGCGGTTTTCTCTTTGGGGGCGAAGAAGGCCCCAGGTCCAGACGGTTTCTCTGGTAGGTTTTATAGAAGATTCTGGGATATCATTGGTGAAACGGTGTGCAGAGAAGTGAAGGATTTTTTTGAGACGGCCGCTATGCCGGAAGGATGGAACGATACGCATATTGTCATGATTCCAAAAGTTGATCACCCAGAAGTGATTAGCCAGTTTCGGCCTATAAGTTGTTGCAATTTTAGATATAAAATTATATCGAAAATTATGGCAACCAGATTGAAGATTTGGACGCCTGATCTGATCTCGGAGCTCCAGACAGCGTTCACCGGTGGTCGGCTTATACAAGACAATATCATTATTGTTCACGAGGCACTACATCACTTCAAAAACCACAAGCGGGGAAGGAGGAGGGACATGATGCTCAAGTTGGACATGAAGAAGGCATATGACATGGTGGACTGGGAGTGCTTAGAAACTCTGTTGGAGAACTATGGGTTTGATAGTAGATGGTGCAGATGGGTTAGTTCTTGCATCAGGACGGTCAAGTTCTCCATCCTCTTCAATGGTGAAGCAGCAGAGGAATTCCAACCGTCCAGGGGGATCAGACAGGGAGACCCGCTTTCCCCCTTCCTGTTCATTTTAATGTCTAATGCGCTTACCTTTCTTATTGATAAAGCAGTGTCCCAGAATCAGTTAAAAGGAATTAGATTAAATGCGAGATGCCCAATACTCACCCACTGTCTTTTTGCTGATGATACAGTTATTTTTGGGAAAGCAGACCATCAAGAAGCGGGGAAGATCCTGGATATTATGAGAGAGTACGGAGCCATCACAGGACAAGAAGTGAATATTAACAAATCTTCCGTCTTCTTCAGTGCAAATGTACCCGATGTGGACAAAGCCGAAATCATTGAGCATATCGGTTTTGCCTCTTCTAACTGTCACACCAAGTACTTAGGAGTGCCGACGGAATGGGGGAATTCAAAGAAGGAAACTTTTCAGTTCCTGATACAGAGAATGGAGAAGATGGGAGAAGCATGGAAGAGCATCCTCCTGTCTCATGGTGGAAAAGAAGTGCTGCTCAAAGCAGTAATCCAAGCTATTCCCTCCTACATCATGTATCTTTTTAACCTTCCGGTTAACCTCACCAGGAAGATGGACTCCCTCCTCACCAACTTCTTCTGGTCAGGATCAATGCAAAAAAGCACAATGCACTGGTGTAGAAAGGAGATTTTATGTGCCCCAAAATCTGAAGGGGGACTGGGGTTCAGAAGCTTCAAAGATTTCAATTTGGCCCTGTTGGCGAAACAAGCGTGGAGAATCCTTAATTCCCCTGATGCCCTCTGGTGTCGACTCCTAAAGGGGTTGTACTTCCCGAGAGGAGATTTCTTGCAGTCGAAGAAAGGAAGTAGAGCATCATGGATCTGGGCGAGCCTGTGGGAGGCTAAAAAGGTTATCAACATGGGAGCAATAAGAGTTATCGGGGCAGGGGAGGATACATGGATTGGCCAAGACCCATGGATTCCGAGCATACAGAACTTTGTAATCAGAAGCGGCCCCCAGCAGAACCTGAGAGTCAAGGAATGGATTGACCCAGTTAGTAGGAGCTGGAATGCGGAATTGATCCAAGGTCATGTGACGAGGGAAGAAGTGGAAGCTATCCTTAAAGTCCCGATTGGGGAGGAGGGTGCTGATGATTTTTGGGCTTGGAGCCTCACCAGAGAGGGTGATTTCTCGGTCAAGACGGCCTACCATGCAGTTCATAAAAACAACACAAATTTCCAGTCGACAGGAAATGAAGAGAGGTGGAACTGGATTTGGGGTCTGAACATCCCGCCCAAGCTCAAGTTCTTTTTATGGAGGTGTTCCAGAAATGGTTTGGCAACGAAAGCAAGACTCTTCCAACGAAAATGTGCCCCTGACCCGAGCTGCCAAGTGTGTCATGAGCCTTTCGAGTCCCTTAACCACTGCCTTTTCTACTGTCCGCATGCTAGAGAATCCTGGACTAGCATCTTCCCTACCCTTCCGATCCCTCCCCAGGGCACCTCTTTCTTTGAATGGTTCTGCTCCCTCAAAGATACCATCCCCCAGAACTCGCTTACTCATATTATCTACATGTGTTGGAACATTTGGAAGGCTAGGAATGAGTGCACTTTCAAGAGTAGAATCCCTTAGCCCCCAAATGTGTGTCTGCAAGCCTACAGAGAACTTACGGAATGGAATGCTTGCCCGAGGTCCCCACCTCAAGGTTCAGATGGTCCCACTCAGCTCAGGGGATCCCACCCTACTACGAATCCCCCGCCAAGTGATCACTCGATAGTGATTCAATGTGATGGGTCGTTCTTTAGCGACTCCCAGTCGGCGGCATATGGTGTTGTTGTTGTTAACCACCATGGACAAGTGTATGATGGGAGAGCTGAAAATCTTCTTTGTTCCACCCCAATTGAAGCGGAAGCAAAGGCTCTCTTGGAAGGAATTAAATTAGCTCAAGAATATGGATCGGTTTGTACTGTACAAACTGACTGTCAGATGATGGTGAAGGCCCTGAAGAATTGCCAGTCTCGATGGCCCTGGAGATGTGCAGCGTGGATTAGAACAATGGTCAATATCCTTAGGACTAACCCTGCAATTTCGGTGGAAGAAATTCCGAGGGCCTTGAACGTCAAAGCGGATTGGGTGGCACGATCAAAAGCTAGAGATATTCTGCCAGATGACTGGATTAATATTCTTGATCTAATTTCTGCTCTCCTTTAAGATTGTAATGGTCTTTTCTTGGTTTTTCTCATTTGGTGGAATAAAAGTTGATATTATTTGTAAAAAAAAAAAAAAAAACTACTTTTCAAGAAAACGCTTATAATTTTTTTTAGATAACCGCGATCTGCGAAGTGCGAAGAGGATTTGTCAAAAAAAAAAAAAAAGTGCGAAGAGGAAAGTGAAAGCGCGAACCTTGAAAACCCTCTTGCTACAGCTTGTGCTTCCATCGAAAGGACAAAGGTGTGGTCCGTTTGCTTTTCGCTCTCTCTTCTTCCATGTCTTTTCCTTCACTATCTTGGAGCCATTCGATGAAAGGCAGTTCCTTTATAAACTACACCTTTATGTTTTTTGATCGATCATGTCGGGTTCAGCCCTTTTCTGCTGTTCTATGTCTAGGCTTTGTACGATTTTTTGCTGGGATTGAGAAAATTGGAATGAATTCGGTTTAATTTGAGTTTCTGGGTTCTGGGTTCGGCTTAGTAGTGAGAAATTTCGGTATTATCAATTGGTAAACTTGCTTTCTTCGACTTATGGTGAACTTGTTTTCGGGTCATCAGAATGTCGGGAGAAGAGGAAGAGAATGCCGCCGAGCTCAAAATTGGAGATGGTACTGACTCATTTTGGAATAAAGTTCTTTGTTTTGTTTATTTGCTATTGATCTGCTTCTGAGTTCTGATGAGGGTTTGATCTTCTCCCTCAGAGTTTCTGAAGGCGAAATGTTTGATGAATTGTGAAGTTTCTTTGATCCTTGAGCACAAGTATGAGCAGCTACAGCAAATGTCAGAGGACGCTACGAATCAGATGTCCCAGTATGTTTCTTCTCAATCCAGGATTTTTGTTTGCTTTCAGTAGCTTTAAAGTGGTTGGATTTACTGCAACTCCCTTGTTTTTTGAGTTTTCTCTTTGAGATGATTAAGTGGTTTTCTGGAATTTTTGTTCTGTGGTTAAGAGAACAATGGATGGACTTCACTATGGTCCTCTGTGAGTCTACATCTCTAGTTAACTCATACTGATTGCTCCACATTTGCAGGGTTTTTGAGAAATCACTGCAGTATGTAAAGCGCTTTAGCCGATACAAAAACCCTGATGCAGTCAGACAAGTGCGAGAGTATCCTTAAGAGATCAGTAGACATGTTAATTGCAATTATCATTGTGCGAGCTATCTATGATTTTGGTGTATGTTGATTGGTTTATCGACTTTTCGTTTGGCGAATGCTTTATATCATAGCTCCAAGTATTCTTGTTCTGTCTTGGTACAATGTTGGAACTTAACCAAACCTTCAGAATCCTAAGTCGGTACCAGTTGGCCGAGTTCGAGGTAGCTTGCATGGCAACCCAGTGATATATGTGATGTCATGTGGTATCCTAAAAAATTCTGAACCTTTATTATGTTCCCCTTGCAGCTCTGCGTTCTTGGTAATCTTTGTCCTGAAACTGTGGAGGAAGCGACAACAATGGTGCCATCTCTAAAGGTATACATTTTTCTAATATGCTACCCTCTGTCTTGGTGGAATTCATGTTTTATGCATTGGACTAGCGTTACTGGAATCTGATCATGACATTAGCCATTAACGTACTGTCATTGCTTAGTGTTCTGGAACTAGAGATACATTTTTCATCAACCGTACATAAATTAAAAATTGTTTATCCCGTGGCTTTCTTATGAAATTAGTGATGAACTGTTTGCTATTGCACAGTCAAGGGACCGGTCACTCACTGACGACGCGATTGAAAAGATGTTGAATGACTTGTCGTTGATCAAGAAATTCGAGTAGAAAGGGCGCGTGCTTATTCTTTGCTGATGAAGTCCAGTCCGAGGAAGAGCTCACTTGAAAAGAGTGGTGCAAAATTGTTGTAGTTGAGTGTTGGTCACAGACGGAGAAGGAGCGTTGTTTCTTTTTTCCTTCTGTTGTACTACGAATCACTAGTCCGAAACATTTTCCCGAGTATGTGGAATTGTTCTCGTGCTTGGTGGATTTTAGCTTATATAACAGAATGAATGACAAACTGGATGCCGATTCTAACTGAGATGATGAAGTTGTGTAACAGAATGAATGAGAAAGTGGATGAAGTATTTTAGCTTACATGATGAACTTAAGTAACAGAATGAAAGACAAATTACAACGGCGAACGTGACGACGCAGAGTGTCACCTGCCGGTGGCAGATGGTGGCGGAGAATTCCATTTCCAAACTAAAAATCAGAACTTTCCTGCGTGTGCATTTATCTGTATGACAATTATGTACAGTGGAGAGAGTGACTGCAGTAGGCCTAATTAGGCTATCGGCTCTTCACAATTATCCCTCTCTCTGTCCCATCTTAGAACATAGCAATTACATGTTCCTATTCCTTGCCTATAGCCCTATATCAATCAATACTCAGTTCCATCTCTTGGAATTCTTCGAACCTTTTGACTTCTGCTTCGCCGCATGAAATGCCTGCACCTTCTGCTTCTTTCGTGCTTCCTTCTCAGCCTGACGATCCAAAAACGCAATAAAGGTTCAACCTCATTTCCCAGTGTGACAGAGTCTAGTCTTGTTGAAGTTATTTGCTTTGCTGAGTAAAGATAGTAGAGATAATAGTCACACTAGTTACCTTTGACATCTTTGATTTCGCCTTCACTTTGGGAGCCTTGTCCTCGAGCATTGCCTCACGTTCCAGCTCTTTCTCTCTTGCTTCGAGATTTTTCTCCAAGTAATACTGTGGGGACGTCGAAATGACATATCATATACCAATCTTAAAGATCTCAAGCTTGGTATAATTAACAAAACCATATAATCAGAAGAGCCGAGAGAGGTCAAACTTACATTATAATCGCCTACATAATCCTGTAACTTGCAGTCCCTAACTTCAATCACTCTGTTAACAATTTGCTTGATGAAGTAACGATCGTGAGAAACAGTGATGACTGTGCCAGTGTATTCTGATATGGCTTCCTGTTGAAACAGTTCATTACAAATTGCTGTCGGCGATTAAAGCATGGGGAAACAGACAGTGGATATAGATAAGAAACAACTGCAGAAGAACCCAAACCTCGAGCATTTCTTTTGAAGGTATATCCAGGTGATTGGTTGGTTCGTCCAGAACTAGCAAAGTTGAAGGCTTTACCATGAACTTACAGAATGCCAGGCGAGCCTGAAAAATTAAGGGACAAAAAGGCCTATCAAGAAGTCCAAGGATACACAGGGTCAATTACAAAAGAGGTCACTAAACTTTGGGTCTATCGTCTAACAAATCAGCAACTGGACATTGATTTTTGGCACACAAATTGCTGAAGTTTTGAATAACTAACATAACTATCACTTTGAAGAAGATGTAGGGCAAGGAAGGGATTAGGTTGAGTTTGGATAATGTGGGTTGATATTAGACAAGAGTAACGAGTGTGGTCTAGATCGAGTCTATGTCAGCTAATAACTCTTATGTCAGTAACTGCAAACCAACACATTGATTTACCATGGAGTATCAGTGCAAATACACGGGGAAGCAAAAATTAGTGATTCCAAATTTACCTTCTCACCGCCACTCAAAAGAGAAACCTTCCTGTCAAGCATATCAGCCTTGAAGTTACAACGCCCAAGGAGACCCTTTATATCATCAACTCTCCAATCCTCTGCTACTTCTGCCACGGTATCGAGCACTGACTTGTCCAGATCAAGAGCCTCGGCCTAACCAAAAAACCTTATGTTAACAGGATGGCACCACACATGAACCAGTAACGACTAGGAAGTGCATTCATAATTCTTTTGAACAACAAACCTGATTCTGCTCGAAGTAATTTGGAAGCACATTGTGCTCCCCGAGTACAATTTCGCCACCTGTTGGTTTCTCCATCCCCATTATCAGTCTCAGCAAGGTACTTTTCCCACATCCATTTGGTCCAACAATGGCAATTTTTTCCCCTCTCTCTATTGAAAGATTTGTGTTTTTAAACAGCGTCTGTTTCAGATATCACACCAAAACAGCCTCATATTAGTGTACATTCAAGGAACAGAAACTCTTATTTTTTGTACCATTGTGGCATCACACCTGATCCCCATACCGGAAGTCAAGATTCTTGATTTCAACCACAGACCTCCCACTTCTTCCGCGCTCTGGGAAACTGATCCTCATTTGTTTGCGTTGAAATGGCTTTTCTATTTGATCCTCTTCCTGAAGTCTTTCTAATTTCTGTTATCAGCAAAAGTAGAACAAAAACACAACTTAGCACCCAGAGGTTCCTCAATTTATCAGTTCATCAATGTCCTGGAATCGATGAATCCAAATTCCGAAAGAATGGACGTGGTTTTCTAGATCTCATTATACCTTCTCAGCAGTAGAGGCACGACCAGAGTTCACCCCTGCACCCAACCTGCTGATTAGTTCCCTTGCCTGCTCAATTTCCTTCTGCTGCTTCTCCCATGCAGCATACTGAGATTCAACCCATGCTGCCTTTGATATAATGTACTGAGAATAGTTTCCTTCAAATGTCCGGGACATGCCCATTTCGGTTTCCACGATTTTGGTACATAGTTGATCCAGGAAGGCCCTGTCGTGAGAAATGAGGACCATAGGCACATCTTGTTTCTGCAGATAACCTTCAAGCCATTCAATCGTGTCGAGGTCAAGATGATTTGTAGGTTCATCCAGAAGCAACAAATCGGGTTCCTGATGAATCATTTCATAAAGGTGAAGACTTGATTATCATTTTGCCATAGATAAACTAGTCCAAAACACACTGTCGACCAAAATATTTCCAAGGCTTTTCTAAACCCTTTTAATTACGAATCAAAACACAGACTGAAAACTTCGGAACATAACTATACCTGCAACAAAATCTTGCCAAGCGACATCCTCATCTGCCACCCGCCACTGAAAGAGGCCACCAATCTATCCCCATCCTCAGCTGAGAACCCAAGCTCTGGCATCAATTTACTAACTTTCGCATCAACTTCATCAGAATCCACAGCTTGAGCTCTCCTCTGCAACAAATCAAATTCATCCAACAACCTCCCCATCAACTCCAAGTCATCCACAGACCCTTCAATCGCCTTCTGCACTTTCTCCAGCTTCTCTTTAATCTCCATCTGCTCCTTGAACGCGCTCTGAAACTCCTCCCTCACAGTCCTCCTCAACGACACCTCAAATTCCTGGCTCAAGAAAGCAATTTTCATGTTGGGTTTCGCCTTAATCACGTTCCCACTATCTGGCTCTTCCTGCCCTGTAATAATCCTCAACTGGGTAGTTTTCCCTGCGCCATTAACCCCGACCAATCCGACTTTCTCCCCTCTTTTCACCTCCCAGCTCACGTCTTTCAACACCGTCACCCCTTTGTAGCTCTTGGTTATGTTCTCCAATTTCACTCCCGACGAAATCCCGGAAGCTCCTGAAGTATTGCTCCCTTGCTTGCCGCTCCGTTTCTGGTCGGAATCGCTGGAGGAATTGGTGGAGAATAACGACTCGATGTCCTCTGCTTTGGACTCGTCCGCAGAAGCTTCCACCGTGGCGGTGGATAACCTGGCGGCGAGCTGAGTAATCCGTCTGGTGGAGAGTTTGATTGAACTGGGAATGGTGGTTCGAATCGGTTTCTGGAGTTTGAAACTGGGCGCGACGGGGCATTTCGGGGAGTCGAAAATTGGGGAGTCGGTGAGGAAGCTGGAATGCATGTCTAGGCGGTGGAATTTGGCGGAGAGGGCCATGTTTTTTGGGTGCCGGGAAAATCAATCTTCAACCAGCGAGAAAACAAGGTGTGTGGAGTGTAGTATTATAATGAAAGAACCAGAAGCTAGGGATGAGAGAAATGTGAAATGCTGGCTGTTTGGTTCCTGTGAAAATCCTTTGTGTCATCCCATGGAGATAGGAGAAGATTTCTCCAGAAGGTGTAGTATTATAATGACAAAATTCTTCTGCAATATTTTCGCTCCATTTTCACGCCTATCACAGACGAACAAGGTGTCGTAGGCCAGAGGTAGAGGAAGGCTCCACGTGTCAGAAGCCCACAGCCACAATAAATCTTTTCAACAAAGATTGAAGAAAGTCAGACATAGGCATTCTGAACAGTGTATCCTTTTCATTTCTGCAGCTATGATATTAAGTTATTGGCACAGCAAAAACAAAAACCAGAGCTTTAACAGTTAACATTACACCAAAAAAGTTTAAGAAAAAACAAATCTTTCACTCTTGGCTTCGATCAAAACTGATTACAACAATATTGGTAAGAAAACAACTAGTGATCCTCGTTCTAGTGGGTCTCAAAACTGCGAATTGCTAAGGAAAGTGACCATGCATCTGGTGTTCTGAAACAGCTTATCTATCTTCTGCCAAGCTGCTGACTGAATCTCCAGCAGCTTCTTTGCCTGATCTTGTAGGCTCGGCTGCCGTCTGACCGTTTCGCCATGAATCTGATAGTCATATACAACATAAAAAGGGTTACCGTTTCCGAAAAACTGAAGAGAGCCCTTATTGGAGTAGTAGTTTGATAAAGTTTGTAGTACCTTGAGGAATAATCTTATGAGAGCCTGGATGAACTCGAAGTTGTTGCGGCTGGATATTTCGTGGATGAAATAATCGAAGAGGCGTTGTATTGCGATGAGTTCTGGCTTTGTTTCTACATCCTCTTGATCATCATCGTTGCTGTCCTCGTCGTTGTCATCGATTATCTGAAGCATCCGAAGCTCCATGTCCAGGTTTGACGGGGATAGCCCTTTGATGTAGTTGGTGAATGCTGAAACTGCAGAAACCGAAATCACAGAACAGTTACAGGAAACAGAAACTTCTAACCCTTTCTTGATCAAGTGACCGAAAGGGTTGAGGCGGGATACTTACAGTTGTTCGCCTCTGCACAAGAATATAGAAGCTCGGTAAACTTGGACACTGGTATTAATGGTGTCTCATATTTTCCCTTGTTTTTCGTCTTCTTGGCTTCATCGATATCCATACCATCATCATCTTTGGCTGGTTCACTAGGTTTGAACAGAATGTCTCCAGAAAGAGATGGAACTGATGGCAGGAAGAAAGGAGCCTTTTCTGGTTTCTTGGGTGGTTCTATTGGTTTATTGCGCACCTGGATAAAATCCACAGAACAAGCTGGAAGTTCAAATAATCTGAAACACAGAACCTGAAGTCACTAGAAAAATTGAAAGAGAACGAA